GATCCTTATGGTTCCTATTAATTAAGGTGATCCTATTTACAATTTCATGGATATTATAACTAAAACTTACAATTATCCAATATTTCATTATAATCACTCTTCCTATATACGAAAACGAACATCTCATTTGTAGACTCGAAATGATGATAAACAAAAATATTTATCAAGTAGACAATAATAAATTGAAATAAATAACTAAGTTGAATAATAAATACTGAAATATTTGCTCATATGTTTGTCTAGTTGAGGTCATCGGTGCGAAGCTAAACAGTTGTGACTTTTCTGGAGGTGTTTTTGGTTTGTTCTGGGAAAAGTGGGACAATCGAGTAGAAAGTGTAAAGATTTATCTTATATTCTATATATGCATTTATACAACGTGTGTTCCAAAGTAAATAGGACATTTAGAATCTAGCGCCTCCTGGTGGCGCCATCTATACGTCGATGGGTGTGTTAGAATCTGCTATCTTTATCAATTATCCAGTGAGAATTTTATGACATTTCATCTATAGGAAGTGAAGTTATTGCGTTTTAAGTGTCAGTATATTTGTGTTATCGGTGCGAAAATGAGCTTCGAACAAAGAGCCAACATTAAATTTTGTTTCAAAAACCGTGATCATCGGAAATTCCATCGCAACTGTGCGTGAATTCATCAAAATCAGAAGAAGTCGTCATTGAAATTCGTGGAAATGGAATTGAACATGTCCAAAACATCGCATTTAATGCATTTTGACCGAAAATTTGGACTTACGAAAGGTGTGTACACGGTTTGTTCCGCACAAATTGACTGACAACCAAAAACTGCTCAGAATCCAACATTCGAAGGACGATTATTTGACAAAAAATCACATTTTAAACATTAAACACTCCCCGTATTCACCCGATATGGCACCGTGCGTCTTGTTTCTTTTCGGCAAAATGCGTTTGCCCATGAAAGGAAAGCGTTATGCGGACGTGGAGGCCATTCAGAAGGATTGCACTGGCATACTGGCGGCCAAAAAACAATTTTTTTAAGTCCTGTTTACTTTGGAACGCACTTTGTACCTTTCGAATGCGCAGCTGCTGGTAGTTGACCAACGCTCTGGGGCTCAGCGCTTCAGTAGGAACATACATGAATCCAACGTAGCTCATTTCCGTCCCTACTCCGCAGTTATTTAGACGGAAATACCGGCACTAGCAAACTCGTCAGATTAACACTTTTCTGCAATACCGCTGTGGCGAGGTAAAACAACTCGATAATAGGGGTAAGGCGTCTAGATATCTTTTCACTAGTCTTGGGCGCACAGTCAGTGAACTCAAGGCTATTATCGCTGTCTTACTATCGAAGTGGATAGTCAGCACTTTGAAGGAGGCAACGCTATGTAGAAGCAGATATAATGCTTCTTTTATGGCAGCCACATCTGCTTGGATGCAATGGTCAGAAAGCCTTAAACAAAGTTTCTGACAAACTGAATCTGAGGGCAGCATGCGCGGCCATATAAATTGAGGTTATGTCCATTGGTGCTATAAGCAGCAAGGCGTTCAGAGCAATAATTAATTTGGCTCGCACAAATACTGATAAGAACCGCCCTTTGAATACTCGTCAATTTGTTTTTTTTTTTTCTTGGAACCTCCAATCTGGCCCCTTTCAATACTCCTTCCATAAGAGACATTGCCTTCTTATAGAGAATTGTCTACCGCTTATCATCACACCGTATAAATGTGTGGAACCCATTCTGCCATCTGGCACTTTTACACTTTGGAAGTGGCCTCAGGTTCCCTCGGACCAACTAGAACCGCATAAATGGCCGCAGCTTCCCTTTTCCTTTCTTCTCGAAGATGGCATCATCCTCTCTAATGCAGTCGCAAGCGCCGACTTCAACGGACATCGCGAGCTTAGTGTTTGTGTACCATTTTCCTAGAGAGGCTTCACCCTCATGCGTGTAACCTTTGTCAGATATCTACTCAGCCTTACTGCTCTGCATGCACACTTCGTGCCGCATGTTTATTTCTAAAATACCCACTGGAATGCCTCAAGTCGGCTGTATGTTTGGAGCAACAAAATATGTAAATTTCGTTTATGAAGTTTTTTGTCATATTAAGCAATTTACTTATAGCGTTCTTCTTCTTACATACCGCTCGTTGGAACACACACACAGTTCATATAAAGTTCTTAAATATTTTAATTTTTCTCGCTGCTTTACATCTCAATACCATGTAAGTTCTGTTATTGCTACATGAATTATTAATGCTATATCGATTCAACCATTGTTATGAATTTATTTATTATGTGGTTAAAATTGTTTGCGTAATTTGCTGCGTTTATGCAGTATCATTGGCAACTGCTTCAAGTGAATCGAACTTGAAACAGTTCTCCACTACATCATATTGATAAAAAATAGGTTTTTCGTTCGTTCTACCAACTTTTCTTTTTATTTTTGTTTTTCTGAGTTTGAATTTTTTATTCTGTGGAGTAATTTGCATGATTGTAGTGTGAGTTAGTAGATTCTGCATTATTATGCATAAGGAAGGGAATAATTATATATGTAAAAATTATTATGTAAAAATTTAGCAAACAATTGGCGCAAACGCTTCAGCAATCAACGACAAAACGAAGTTGTGAATAATGAAAGGTAATAAGGGCCAAGTATTTGCTAAAAACCCACGAGAAAAGTGGCCTTCTTTTTCTCGGTTCGCGGGAAATAATCGCAATGAACATTTAGCTTGATAAAATTCCTCAAACCACAAGAGATATAGCATAAATTCTCGCTAATCGATTTTATTATATTATATCGACATTCGAGGCAGGAAAAATCGCAAAAATCTTATGTCGTGCGCCATCATTGATGTCACTATATAACACTAGAAGTAGTTCTCTAGTCTACAAGTCGTTTTTGGTCTCTACAATGTCTTTGAACTATATTTTGTATACGACTTCAAGCAGTTGGTCGTCCCTTACGAAGATTTTAGTACCTATTGTATAATAATTACCTAATTTATTTATTAATTACAACAACAAAAATTTTTTTATTGTCCTTTAAAAGTCCTTTATTGCGTGCCGCTGCCCTAACTTCATAGTTATAATTATAATATCGCGCTTTCGACGTATTGTGAATATTGATCAATCTGATCCACTTTATCAAAATTTCTTGAAGCAATTTCTTAACTAAAGCTGTTTTATTAATATTTTGGTACTTTATTTTAAAGAAATTTCAATTTAATATTACTTGAGCAGCGTGAGACCCTTCACATTTTTTCATAAATTATGAATAAGAGAATGAGCTGATAGCCTTAACTTTTAAGTAAAATTTGCTTTCACGAAAATTGAACTTAATTTGGTTTTAAAGTTAGATAAACAGACTCGGATGCTAGTTGTGTAGCTACGCATTTAATATTTCGTTTTTTTTTTTTTTTTTGTTTTTTTTTGATACCAGGATGTCATAACGCTGTACGAGGATTTTCCTTCAAAGTGTTTAGATGAGTAAATCATATACATTTAAGTTATAAAAATTTTTTGTTAGCCAGCTAAAGCAAAATATTCTTGTTTTTAAAACTTTTTACTATGACTAAACCTTTAATATTTTAATATTTTTTATTTTCAAGTTATTTTCTTTTTTTTACTCTGTAAGAGCTAAGTGAATTTATATAAGATCATTGGGATGCATTTTTCTAAAACGAAGTACTTCATGTTTTCGAATCCTTCATATTCTAACTAATTACAGCGTCTTTTACAAGTTTTATACATATAAAATAGGTTTTTTTCCTTCGATCATCACATCAGAAGCCTCATCACCACTTTTCCATCATATACACATTTGAAAGGAATATAAATTTAATATTATCATGGTTTAGTTTACTACAGAGTTGATATCTTATTCGGATAATTCATCCACATAAACTACGAAGATGCAGAGGAGATGTTTCAGCGTGTCTCTCAAGTCTACTTCCTTGCAGTTTCCACATGTGTCATCGTTAATAATGGTCATAGGGTCTTGGGGATCCTGCACGCCTTTAAGGCATTCCATCTCATGCCGCACCGTCTGTCAGCCCTTTCGGAAATTTCATTATATATCGTATTTCACAATTTGTGCATTTCTTGAACTGGTTCGTTAGCCAAGTGGATGGCCATTTTAGGCGGCGGATGACTTCTGGTTTCCTTTCCCGAAAAGCTCTTGTGGCTTTAAAACTAGTATATCTGCAATCGCTTTCCGGCAGTCATCTACTACTTCCCTGGTTCCAATAACATTTCCTGACACACAACGATGCGACGTTATTGCTTTATTGACGCTTAACTTGATTTTCTTTCTTTCTCTCTCTCATTTCATGATTGCTAAGCCTTCTGTCATTAAGATACTGCAGTATTCCGTCAAGTTGACGGGTCGCCTGAGATCTAGCTCTTCTAAATAGATGCCAGCACCACTCCATCAGCCATTTTTGTTCCGCCCGTGTAGGTGTTGAAAACTCCGCTGTTGGTTGCGCTATCCACTGCCTTTTAATGTGGCTTGAAACCTTCTTCCACATATAAACCGTTGGCCGTCATTTTCTCGGGTCAAAACCCATTCAGCAGACTGACGATCAAGTTTATGCACATAATGATGTTTCAGAGGCATTACTGCATCTTGTGATCTTCTTGAGTATGTCACTGCATTTATGCCAGGACGTACACGAAGAAATTTAGTAATCTAGTGCGTAATCATTGAATATACTCATCTAGATTACTTAGCATTGACGGTGTTTTTTACATTCCCAATTGAAGTAGGTTTCCTTTGAAAGGATTGGCTGATTCTTGAGTCCTGAAGTTTTCTTTGAGCTTAATACTATAAAACAATGAACTAGATTTTTAGTTTTTACGCAACTTTTTCTGAATATCTTTTAGCTTAATTGAAAGCAGAGTTTCCGAGGATTTTTCTTGTTATTTTTACTAAAAGTATGAACCTGAATTAAATATGCTTATTGTCTCCAGACAAATTGAACTGCCTGTTTTAATAATTAATAAATAAATTCTTATTCACTTTTCCTTCCAGGCATATTTAAGCTATAAATAAAAAACAACTGGATACTGTGAAGCAAATACGACAATTTTAGGCATGTGGGGGCATCAACTTCATCTTATGACCCACGTAAGTATGAGCTTATGTTTACATGTTTATAGAGCAACACTTAAGTAATGAAAAAGCACATGTATTTCTGGTAATATGTACACTCGTGAGTACAAAAGTGGCAACACACACACGCGAACTGAAGAAAACGGTGAAAGCAAACAACTTGAAGTCACAAACAAAACTCGTGGCAACAAAGTGAAAACGCTGCTGTTGCATGCAGCACAAAAGAGGCAACTACATGCCCACTGCGTGTACATAAAACAATGTCAACATAAAGCACACACACACAACAAAAGTTGCAAGCACTAAAGCTAAAGTTTTAATGAGTGAGCGGAAGAGGAAATGCATATAAAATTGGCAAAGAAACGCGGTAAGGTAAATGAAAACGATGTAAGAAGTGAGGAACGAAAAATGGCTCGAATACAAAATGATGAAGTGCAGAAAAAATAAACAAAAGTCAAATATAACAAAAAGGCATATGAAAGCAACTTTAAGAAATAAACAACTAACAAAAAAATAAGTAAAAGATAAAACGAAAAACCTATGAAAAAGCTATCTTCCTTGGACCGAAGATATACCCCTAACAGGTGCATTTCTTATAGCATAAAAGGGTATAGAAAGATCTTTAACTTGATTGTGATCCATTTGAATTGCAGAAATAATAAGTAGTTGTCAGATCAGAATCGGAGATCATAGTATTGCCATGTATAATTATATACACCTAGTTCCATGATGATACGGATATGTTGTCAAGAATATTGCATGGTTACCTTGAACAATATCCCGTGGCAAACTTCATGAAGATATCTCATTTCAAGATTTTGATTCCGATCGTTCAGCCTGTGTGATAGCTCTATGCTATAGTGGTCCGATATTGGCAGTTAAAATAAATCAGCAACTTCTTGATAAGAAATGGAGTGTACAAAATTTCAAATCGATATCACTAAGAGTGAGGGACTAGTTCGTGAATCTATAGAAACACAAATATCGATAAATCGGCTTAGCTCTACACGCTAGTCATTTATATTATATATATATAAATATATATATATATATATACTTTTGGGTTCTTCAACTTTCCCTTCAGGGTGTTACAGACATCACTGCAAACAAAATATATCCTGTTCAGGGTAACAAAAAATGTACTTAGTAGAATAAACCAAACAAAGCTTGAGTGCCAAAGTGACAGAGTAACTGTCGCGCAGAAATGTGTCCGCAAAGACGGTTATTAACAAGCGGCTGAACAAAAGAGAGAAAACCTTTTATAAATGAGTTAGAGAAATAAATACGGTTGTTAACCCCATGCAAATGCAAATGGTGTGGTTTGACTCTGTTTATAATTTCGTAGTAAATATTTTTCCATTTGCGTTGTGGTAGGAGCCGAAATATTTAAGCATTAATTGAGCTTTACCACGCAAATGCGGTAGCAATGTTGGTGGCATAACGGAAAGCGTTAAAGTATGTAGTTTCTACACTGACATGATTGACATGCTAACTGTTGAATAAATATACAAATGCGATTAATGCACATTAATTATTAAAAAAATTTCAGATTAATGGATGAAAGTTGAGGATTTGAATGTGTTCATACAAAATCTATAATGTTACCTCGACGACCAGTTGTCAACCATTAATGGTTTGAAGAATAAAATTACTGTATTTAGTCGGAAATTCCATTACGAAAATGCGTTTATTCTGAGATATGAGCTACTAAATCCATTCGTGCCAATGATACGGCCTGATGATTTGATATCGTCGGCACACTTCTTAACTCCCATTTTGTCTGCCACGGTCTTTTTTATGGGACGTTGGGTTTGTTGAGAGTGTTCCAGACTTCAAATTTTGTCTCAGTATGGGTTTTCTGCTTAGGGTGCATGGACCTTTGAATGCATTTTTGCTTTAGAGGCACCTACCTGATAGGTATGGATGCATGTAAATGCAGAATGCCCGATGTACTCGGACATTAGGGATCTGGGTGGTATGGGGATTAGCTGGACTGATGGACCTTTAAATTTTAGCAGTGTGATCTCAACTCGTCGGAATGTCAAGATGTTAGGACAGTTTATTTAGCTTCTTGTGTGAATGGTGTGTGCGTGCAATGTGCGTGTGAGTGTGGGGTTGGCCCCTCGTCGCCAATCCAGAGCAGTATGGTCTGGCCGGAGACTTAATTCTGGTACCAGGGGGAGCAGTAGTCTTCGGAGTTCGCTTCAACCAGCTCGTACGGTCTGGTCCGTCGCGGAGTATCGTGGTGATTGTGATTAAAGACCGAATGCGGGAAGAACTGAGACTTTGACAGTTTAATTTGGAGTTCCATTGCTACCGGTTGCCGGACCCGAAATACGACAGAAGTTTTAGATGGGGTCTCGAACCCTACCAAGATGGTAAGGGTGTCCATTCCACACTGGCAATTAGTACTGAATATGCCTGGCATTTTTAGGTTGCTGATCAGCGCGTTCTTTTGATCCGCTGTACTTTTGAACGCTGTAGGGTAGGGCTGCCGTCAGCAGGTACTCCTGTTAAACACCCCGGAAGGGTCACTACCTCAGCCCCAAGTACACAGCACATTAGAATTTAGAAAATGCTTCATTTAATCCCAGATATCGGACAGTAAAAAATGGAGTTGGCAAAACCAACGTATGGTTCTGCATTTTTTACTTTGGTCCATTAAAGAAAACACAGATGCGACTATGCTACCCCAAACATACCATACCAGAAAGTTGACAAAAGATAGATTTACTTCAAATGGAGTTGAGGTTATGAGCTGGGCGGCCTAGTCACCTGACCTAAATAAAATTGAGAACCTTTGGGTATAGGACAAATTTGAAGCTGTTATGTAGTGCTGTGAAGGAGGCGTGAAAGTCTATTACTCTCGAAAAATGTAGGCGTTTTATGGACTCCATGCTTCATTACTACTATTATTAATAACATTCGAAATTTATTTACACCCTTTTTTATTTATTTAAAGAAGCACTTCATGTTATTTTTGAAAGAACCCAACCCAGAAGAAGCTAGAATATCAGGAAGTTAAATGAAATAATAATGAACTATAAAAGAACACATACATTATTATTTAATTTTGGTTTAATTTCCTGGTTATTACACTGTTAGTATTTCGAACACAGTTGTAACCACCCTTTCATTTAAGAACATACTTTTGGTTCACCCTGTATGGCTTAACGACAAAATTATCTTTTCTTATTATAAAAGTAACTTACTTCTCAAAACATCTGCTTAGATATACATACATACATATGCATGTAGAGATCTGCTCTTAAGATAAGCTTTATTGTGCAGACAATTAATTTCTTTAATGTAATTGCTTTGCAGGCCTTTGGGAGTTGAGCAAGTGCCGCAGGCCACTTTGTGTTAATGGCATATGGATAAATTGTATGTTGCCGCTTGTATATGCCTACAAATGTAAATGTGTTTGATGTATGTAATAATGTAATATGCTGACACCTATCAATTATTAATTCACTCAATAAATTATGCAGCTGTAAATATGGTGCCACGAAAATTCAGACATTATTGAAACAGTATAGAAAAGAAATTTTCAAANTATTAATTCACTCAATAAATTATGCAGCTGTAAATATGGTGCCACGAAAATTCAGACATTATTGAAACAGTATAGAAAAGAAATTTTCAAAAAAAAAAAAAAAAACCGAGAATCTTGACAAAAAGATTTCTAAATATAAGTCAGTTTTCGTACAACTTTCTATGAGTCAAGTACACTTACAGCAACGACATATGTCTAGCGACGTAGTTGAAAGCACTCGCCAGTGCACAGTTCGCTTTCGGTGCTTTGCTGCTGTTTTGTGTTGCACGAGTTATTATCTAAGTGAAAGAAAAATACAACTGAAAATACTCCTAGCACATTTGGCCGGTATTCTTCGGTGCCCGGCACCAAAACACCGCAAACTGTACTGCAACGACAAAGCAGCGCACCGCACGCCGACAGGCAAAGCAAACACGACTTGTGGCAGTCAGCGAGTTCAAACAAAAAGCAAAGGCGCGCGTATGTAGGTTACGAGTGGAACGCAGTCAAGCGCGTAAATAGACAATGGAAGCAAAATAGAAGAAGAAGAAGAAGATCGGCAGCGATATACCTACTATATAAAAACCAGTATACAAACAACGATTATGGGACAAATTTGTGCTGCGCAAGAGGAAGCAGCCCGTGTGCAGTCAAAGTTGTGCGAAAATAGGAAAATAGTTGAAAGCTAAATAATGCGGTTTCTGTTCGTGTTTTCTTCTATCTTGTTGTTGGATTTGTGTCCTTTAGACGCATTGCTGGCGTATACTCGTTTAGCAGCAATAACAACAACAACAAACCACTTAACCACGAAGCATTTTGCAATGTTTATTTTTAATTTTGCGCCTGTGTGTGATATGCTTGTGTGCTGCTGTGTGTGCGTATGATAGTCGTTGAAATCGTACAGACCCATGCCCAGACTCAGGTGGGTATAAAACAAAATTTATCTTCAGCAATGACTCCTGGTGTGAAGGCAGTGCTAGTTGTGTTCATAACGCTGTTGCTTAAGGTTGAATGCTGCAGTTATTGATTTAGTTGTTTCTTGCAGAAAATCTTCTTTTAAGACTTTTACATAACGTTTCACGCAGTTGTGTGTGTGCCTGCTTGAGGCTAATGTTGTGTCATGCAATTTATTGCACTCGGTGAAAATTTACTTCTTCACAATTAAATGTAGAGAAGTGAAATTGAATTGAAAACTAAGTATTGGCAAATCCTACAATAATTGCTTTATTTTATAAAACAAAATAATCTTTGTACTTTTGTACTTTTTAAAGTTTTGTACTTTTTAAGTTTAGTTAAAAGATATAATGAACTTTTTCACGAGTTAAAAAAATATCGATCATTAAACTGGTATTTTCGTTTTATTTTTTATTTATTGCCAATTCTAAGCACTCTTATTTAATTTGTCTGTGAAGTGAAAAAATTTACTCCACAGTATTTTAATTAAAGCAAATATGGACTTAACAATAAAATGAAAAGGTTTATGTTTTAATTATGTTCTTAGCTTTTTCTTGCAAACATTTGAATATGTAGTTTGGTGTCTTTCTGACGCCTGCTGCGTGTCGTCTGAAAGCTATCAGCTCTACCGTGGTATCCCTTTCAGAACAGAACACGTAAGCATTCAATTGAAGTCAACAACACACTTCTCCCCAGCAGTATCTGTTCTGGTGTTTTCGTACAAATCACCTTTGCAATTGCTTTCCTGGAACATTTGTCGACGAAATACATCAACTCACCGACCAAAGTTCGTTCGCGACAAAATTCAGTCATGCACTGATCGCTGTCTACAGCGCGGACAAGTATTAATACTATTTTCACTGAATCTGTCTCAGTGACCAGCGTTTTTGGAGCTTAATCAAAGTTCATTGAAACGACAACAGCTCATAATTTCTTGGACACTAATCACCTCTGCGCATGCCCTTCACATACACTAATCTACCAGCCATCTCCAAATTATCCAACATTAACGAATGCTAATTACCAGAACCTTCTAATCGATGGCTTAAGTGGCTATAACTGTGTGATTTCTCCCAAGCAAGGGTTATACTACTATGGGCAACAAATAGTAAGACCTTGTTCATAATTTTAAATTCCTAATTTATATTTTAAAATCTATGCTATCCCTCTCAAAGTAATTCCCTTTGGCCCCAGTAGACATGTGCTGACGTTTCTTGACCATCAACGAAACTGTTGTTAAGGTGGTGAGGAACAACCTTCAAGTTTAATGTCTTCAATTGACACAAAACGGTTTTCCCGGAGCGGTCGTTTGAGTTTGCTGGACAGTCAGAAGTCACACGGAGCTAAATCAGGCGAATAACTTCATGCAAACGACGCATAACACACAAATAGTACTAATTGTTAACAGTTTGGCCGGTCGGAAGGAATTCGGAGTGGACCACACATCGATAATCGCAGCAAAGTGACAACATAACCTACATTTTTGACCTGCTTTGACGTGGGTTTTTCGGCTTCGGTTAACTTTGGCTGATTGATCATCCGGGTCGTAAGTATAGACCCAAGACTCATTGCCAGAAATAATACGTTTCATGACATGCTGGTAGACAGAAAGCATTGTTTTGCAGATGCTAACGTTATGCTATTTTTCTAAAAATTTAGTGATTTGGAAACCAATCGTGCTTTCACTTTCCTTAGGCTCAAATGGTCTTTTAATCGCTGATCCTTTCCATATTCCACCGCTGCCTGTAAAATCTTTGACTGTTAATCGTCGCTTCTCAAGCACCAGTTCCTTTATTTTATTGATTTGTTGATCATAAGTTGAAGTTGTGGTCCGTCTTATAAGTGGTTCATTGTCAACTCCCGTTGTCGTTTCCCCATCCTCTTTGAATAATTTGTAGCAACCGAAAACACTTATTCGTCACACATAATTATCACCGAAGGCCTTTTCCAACATTCTGAACATTTCAACACCTGAAATTTGATTCCGCACACACAGTTTAATGGAACTAATTTTTGGAATAATTTCATTAATCGTAAACATCGCCGAATGCACTACAAGCGTATACTAAGCACTAATAATTATTTTGATTTGACAATTGGCACCGAACCCACTGACTGTCAAATGAGCCTAGAAAACAAGTATTTGGAAGAATGCGCGATATTTAAATTAAATGCCCATAGTAGTATAAGTACTAAGCTACAACAACAGCAACTGTATTTGGGCTAAAATACAAACATGGAACAAACAAAGGTATATTACTTTATAAGTTTTATTTTACTTTACCGCGGGATATAGGGCCAGTCTCACCATCCATATGGTGAGTGCCTTGAAGTTTTTTAATAAATATAAATTAAAGATGGGATTATTTTTATGTCGAAAATTCGTAGAAGGTCTTATATTCTTGCCAAAGGTCAAAAAAAGAATGTGTTGTATGAAGTTTTTTCGGCTTCCATATTATAAAAGGTATTGCGAAATAAAATGGGTTCTACGATTCCCAAAAGCTTGAGAACCTCTCATTTAATATGACTAGCAAACAAGTTAAACTAATGATGAGTTAACACAAAAGTATATATACATCTTTACAGTGTATAGGATATTGTCCTGCTAATTCAATGTATTCAACTACTAAGCACTGTTGGAAATATTATTAAGAGTGACTCTAGAATTATGGGAAATGATTGATGTGTTAAACAAAAAAAAATTCACATGGAGAAACAAAAATGCGCAAATAGTTTGTCATTTGTCAATAAAGTTCTAAGTTTTGTGTTGCTGAAAAATGTTTATTAGTGTCTTAATTATTATATTTTTTTAACTGTAATTTTTATGCATGGCAACTGGCTAAAACTCCATTTTATTTATTTTCTTTTTCTGTTCTCTTTTCAGCAATCCAATTCTCAAGTAATTAACTCTGAAGTCTTGGAAGACGCTGAATGAATTGACAATTGTAAAATATTAACTAACGGTAAGTCCGACCATATATAAGGTACAGTTAATAGTAGCAACTAAATAAAAGAAGCTGCTTGAAAATGATTACGTGAGAAACCGCACTTATTAACGAATTAAATGGACAGCAATCGCTGGCGCAATAAAAGCAAAGCGAACCGAAAACGAAAAAAGCAACTAAAGCCACCAACAAATGCTTCGAGCTCCACTGGAAGTTGGTGCTAACGGCATATGCAGCAATTGCAAATAAAAAGTGTGCCACCGAAGACAAATCAAAAATCAGTTATATACAACATTCCCGCTTATATCGACGCTTAGACAACTTAGCCACAGCTGAGCGCAAAATGTCCCGGACCACTTGCGGGTTTACCAAGAGTTGTTGTTGTGCGTGAGTGTAAAATCGAAACGAATGTGTAAGCTGAGGAAAAATGCGTTTGCAGGGCAATAAACGCCAAAAACTAAAAAAACAGCAACAACAACGATGCAGCAATACAAGTAAACACAACAGCGAAAGCAACTTCGACGCAGCGATAAATCGCCAGCAACGAGGTAATAAAAAACGCCAGCAAAGAGAGCAATCACAGCAAGTCAAGCAATTCGTTGAACGGCAGCCGAGTATTGAACGTGCGAGCAAAGGAAGGGCGCGCTTTGAGGTAGAAGCAGCTGCAACTAAAATAAAAGAAACTACTTTGGCGGAGAGTAGACTCACCGGGAAGCACACAGCAATCCAACTTTCTGCAGCGCAGAGTCGTCATCACACACGCACTACTGCGGCGCCAACACACTTTGCACCGTCGCTGCTGTACACCGTCCCTCGATTCCTCATACTCTTCGTGCTTTGCTGCACGATGCCGCCACAAGCGCATGGCGACTGGTTGATGGACTGTGGCGATTGCCAGTGTAAATGGCAGTCGGGCAAAAAGACCGCCGATTGTAAGAATCTTACATTGAACGCCGTGCCGGAGAACCTGAGCAATGAGGTACAGGTGCTGGATCTCTCTTTCAATCGTGTTGCCATACTGGAGCAGAATGCCTTTCTCAATGCTGACTTGCATAATCTACACAAGCTCTTCATCCGTAACGCATCGCTGCAACAGATCGACGCGCGCACATTTACCCAACTCGAGATCTTGATCGAAGTGGATTTCTCAAATAATTTATTGCGTAATCTACAAGCGAATGTCTTTGCGCGGTTGGTGAAAGTGCGCGCAATCGTGCTGAACGGTAATCTCTTGGAGACGCTCTCCGATGGTGTCTTCCAGAACCTCAAGTACCTGCATAAGGTCGAGCTGAAACACAATCGGCTGATGCGTATTGGACAGCAGGCGTTCAACAACGTACCGCTCCTATCGCAGATCTACTTGGATGGCAATCGTCTGAGCTTTCTGCGTAAGGAGTCATTCGAATCGCTCAAACGACTGACAGCGCTATCACTCGATTCGAATCCGTGGAACTGCACCTGCGAACTGCAAATATTCCGTGACTTTGTGCTGAAACGCAATCTCTACACACCGCCGACGGCCTGTTATTACCCCATACACCTGCGTGGCATGTTGTGGGTCGAAGATCAGCCCGAGGCTTTTGCGTGTAAACCACGCATCATATTTCCGGCACGCGGCGCTTCCATCAGCACGTCGAAGGCGAATGTAACGCTGGTGTGTCGCGTGCATGCGTCGCCGAATACACACATAACCTGGGACTACAACCGTCAACAATATCGTTCGTCCACCAGTAATATTGGCGGCAACGGCATTAATACAGTCACCACCAACAGCGGCGCTAGTTGTTGCGCCAACGGCCAGGCGCAGCGTTTGCATATAGAATTGCTGCGCGATGAGCAATCAAAGGAGAAAGAGTTCGGACGTGATGTATTCATATCGCGTCTTACCATTGTGGCTGCCGAAAAGAGTGATGAAGGTACGTACACGTGCGCTGCGGAGAATGCTGGTGGCAAGGATGCAGTGCAAATTAATCTACTGGTGCAACGGCCGAGTCCGCGCGAGCTGCTGTTGCAAGGCAATTTAGTCGTTGTTGTTTCACTGATGGCGCTGGGCCTGCTCGGCGTATCCGTGTTTCTCGCGCTCGTCACTTGCTGCATTTATAAGCGCTTTAAGGCAATGAGTCCCACAAGTCATCGGCATCATCATCATCATCTCGATGGCGCAGACCAATTGACGCCCGGCATGGATGGTCAGCATACGACGACGACTACGGTGACCGGTGGCACTGACGTGGTGCTCGGCATGGATGATACAGTGGGCAGTTACAAACATCATTTGCAGAAGAAGAATGCGAATGGTGATGTAGTTGAGGGAAAGGGTGGTGGTGGTGGCGTAGATAGTGGCAAATACTCGGAGGTGATAAAACATGGCGTGACTGTGATGGATAATGGCGGTATGCTGTCAGGCGTCGGCGGCCGTAATATTGGAGTGGATGGCACTGGTGCGCACAGAAGTGGCCCACATGCGGACAAAATGTACTTGGAGCGAAGCAATGACGGTAAGTGGCTAAGTTAATGGAACATTGTTGCTCAATATGTTGCAACACATATGTACGTAGTGAGCAGTGAATTTATCTGTGAGTGTGTGAGATAGAATTGTATGCTTGAATATATGTGGGTGAAGTTGCTTGAGAATCGAAATCAGTTTCTTAGTATTTGTGAAACCTGAAGTGGGACTATCTTCTATGGCTTCACCACAAGAACTGGTACATATAGTATATCCTTATGTTGCCTAGATAATGATTTAATCTCAAATATCTACAAAGCACCTCACTAAGCGGCTTGGCGTTTTATTTCTCACACTCAGATAAATCTTTTGCTTTGACAGTACGTCCTGTTCGAGGGACCATCTATTGGGTAGTCGAAAAATACTTTTCGTATTTCTAATCAAAACTCAACTTCCTTTTTTTTATTTTTAATGAACTCTAATGAACCAAATATGCGTGATTTTGATCGAACACTTTTTGCCATATTTCCGCTAGAGACATTATTCCATCAGTGTAAAACTTTTATGGTTTCAAGGCGAAAAACTGCGACAAGTAATTTTCACAGGCATTGACGGAAATAAATGGTAGTCCGATGATGCAAGGTTTTTCCCCAGTTATCAGAGATGTGTGTGGTCTAGTGTTGCTCTGATGGAAGACGAAATCTTTGCTGTTAATCAGTTCTGGCCGTTTTTTTCGATTGCTTGCTTCAATCTCCTCAGTTGTTTGCAGTAAAATGTAGAAGCAATCGTTCGCCCAGGCCGGAGCAGATCATTGTGGATGATTCCTTTCCAATTTCACCCAACTTTTCGAGGCGTCAATTGCGACCATTCGTTTAACGTCATCACGCTTGGACCATGATCTTTTTCTCACATTATTGTCGTATTTGATCCACTTTCTCTCCTGCTACCAATCGCTTCAAAAATGATGCGATTTCATTTCGTTTCAGCAAAGAATCGCAGATTTTAATTCGATCCATTCAATTTTTCATAGACAATTCTTGTTTTAGCCAAACATCGAACTTCTTTTCGTAGCCAGCCGTTTTTTAAATTGTTCTAAACCGTTTGATGATGAATCTTAAGTTTCTTAGCGATTTCATGGCTGCTCCGTCGCTTAGTCCTGGGCAACCTTTTCCATAATTTCATCGACTTTTTCACTGATGGGTCGATAGTTTTCCCAACTTCCCCGAATTTAAATTTTCTAGTTATATCAAGCTTAAAATATTATCTTTCTAACACTATATGGTATGACACAATGTGATTGGTAGCACTGGAGATATAGAACGACATACCCAATATTTTGCCGATATACCACAATCCACACCAGATGTCTATTTTTGGATATCTTGAGGATCATGTGAGAAGATCATTCTCATTCAATTTAAAGCCTTGTACCAGCTTGTGAATCGCGACATGATGAAATGGCAAACCTTACTGAATACATGGTCGCTATGAACTATCAAAAGCACTTCATCCCTATTGGTAGGCGTTGCATATTTAGAGCAAATTTTTAATATTTGATACCGAACTTTGTCTTATGAACTTTTTTTTTATATTATTCTACCTTTTATTATAAAATTAGCTAGAATACTACCCACGACCTATATATATATATTTACGTGACTTCCAGCTATTTATCACATATGTGGCTCTGTCCTTATAACCTCACGATAGCTGGAATGTCTCTCCATAACTTCGCAGTAGAATGTTTTTCTCTCCGTCTATTTTTCTAATACTTCAGAGGACTCTCCGAATAGGAAATCTAACAAAATTTCATTTGCTTGCGGCAGAGCAGACATAAAAATTAATAGGTCAGCCATCATTTTTATTTCTTGCTGTTTGACTTTCGGCTCCTTTATTATTTTCATTGTGGGTGTTTTTTACGTGGCAGGTCCCAAACCCATAGCACCACCTTATTGAAGGATGCTTCGCCTTTTCACTTCAACTCCCTTTGAAACAGATGTTTTTTTCCTACACTGAGCATCTTTAATCTAAAGCCGGAAGTCGTAAACTGCATGACCCACATATAAAATAATTGTTTTTGACCATTCCCAAGTGAATTTCACCCAGAGAGCTCTCCTCAATTACTTCTACTCATTAATGAACTCTATTAAGCAAGTGGAGTACTTGTGGAAAAATATTAAAGTATTTGTTCATATAATCATTAATTATCTATACTATCTGCTACTTAGCGGCGACAACGTTGTTCTTACCATTCCAAATGCTGTATTATTTGAAACATTCATGCAACTTATCCTGTAGCCTTCCATTTCTTATGCTGTTATCTTTTTTCTTTTTGTTGCGCCATCGCATTTGCAACACCTGAGCTCGCATTTAATGATTGCTATTATTGTTGCAGTTAATTTTTTTGGTGTTTTTATGCAATTGTTGCGATAAGTAATTTTTCTCCTTTTTCTGCCAAGCCAACCTTTTTGTTATTATCACAGCTGTTTTTGTTGTCTTTCACCAGCGACTTTATTGTTATTGCAGTCGTAATGGGGTTTTCACGTTTGCGGTCGCCATTCGTGTTCTTTGACGTGATCATTGTCGTCATTATTGCTGTAGATGGTGGCTTTCTCGTAAATCCTTCGTTTATGGCGTGACCATTCACGCCAAGCTGAGCCAAACCAAGCAATGCCACGCCACGTCACGCCAATTTATTCGCACACAACTCTTCCCCCCCAAACACCACACACACACACACACAAGTGTACCCAGTACCACACACATTCACAGCTGTGCCCTCAACAATGCGCACACAATTATTTTCCAGTCTTTTCCGCCTGTCCGGTGGCGCGTTATTGTCTCAATGATAAATATGGTAATTAATTCTCGCTGCGAATTGTTGAAATGCCGTAATGAAAATGAAAATGAAAATGTTTTCACCGCTACCGCGCCCTACTTTCGAAAAAATTAAACAGCAGCACGCTCCACGTCTTTTTCAGTGGGAAATTTTATGACTCTTTTCACTGTCCAGCATTGCTTCTACGGTTTATAGCGTTTGGCGAGGGGGTTTGGGTTTGTTGTGGCATAAAAATTTAAACAATAACATATCGCCCGCACATTTGCGCGCGCAAAGCAGGAGATAATATTCGTAACAAAAAGTTATATTATTTATTTAATGTCCGAAGTAACGATTCGCAGCTGCGCACTTATACGATGTGGGCTTCTGCTCGTTTTTTCATTTTTGTTTTTCGAATGCATATTTCTTGCCCGCCTCTGTAATTGTCGCATTTATCATGCGCGACCACTTAAGTGCCTTGGAACGGTTGAATCCGTCGAGATGAATTGCTCTGGGTTTATTATTAGTCTGTCTATCTGTCTCTTTTATGTAACGTTACTCACAATTACATATGTACACACTATTTGTCTATACAAGAAACTTCATATATCTGGGCATTATGCAAATCGTTTTGTCTCCAGTGTCCAGTAGTCAGTGGTTAATAAGCGAGATATTGAATGAAAGCTGTAATTGCTTGCTGAAAATAAGCCACATATATGTATGTATTTAAGTAGTGGTTGAGGTTTGCATCCAAAGTCAAAAATTTCCAATAAGACGTTTTTACAATATTCTCCGAAATTATGTACATGACATTCGGGATTTCGTAAAAATTTATAAAATCTAAGAGTCTACTTATAGATTTTCTTAAATGATACTTAGGAAATCTTCATCACTTTGTAAATTCACAAGCTTACGAGTACTACAAAGCCTTCAAAAACGATAGAGCGACGGTTGAAGACATGTTACGTGCTGGACGACGTTCGACCTCTTCAAATGATGAAAATATTAAAATAAAGTGAAGGTTCTTGAAAATCGTCAGGCAAGTGTTAAGGAGGAGCGAGTCCGTAAGAATGATTTTGGTGGATATTTGGGTACGAAACGCGTTCTTGTACGACTCGTCCCGATAAAGCTGAATGCTTTTCAAAAGAGTACCGTGAATTGGTCTCTTTGGATATGCCTAATTGTGCGAATTGCGATTCCACATTCATGGAGAGCAATATAACTACTGATGAGACATGGGTTACTGAGTCTGACATGCAAAGAAATCAAGAATCTTTGGAATGGATGAAAAAAAAACGAGCTGAAACCAAACAAGCGCAACAAAATCAAGGTTATGGTCATTATCGATGTTGGTAGTTTGGTTTAACATGAGTTTCTTCCGGAGGTACAGATTGTCAAGAAGGAACTCTATTTAGCCGTATTGAGGCATTTGCGTGAGAACATCCATCGAGAACGTCTGGAATTGAGGAAGAACAATTCATGGATTTTACACGAAGATAATGCCAAACGCAAATAATACCATCGATCAGCCACCCTATTCACTGGACTTAGTCCAAACTGAAATTGCTGCTCCTTTAAACATCTTTTCAGTCAATCGAAGAGATAAAACAAAATGAGTGGCAACCTTTCCCACCATCATTTCCTCCGTTGTTCCCCAGCTTGGAAGCGATCTCCCGCAACCTGATAGCGGACCTTTCGTTCTTGCATTCCACATGCAGTATATCTCCTCTGAAGTGGACCCCATGGAAGAACGCTGCATCTACAGATCCTCTGAACACTTTTTCCATGAGATGATCGTAGAGGACGGTAAGTTCTTCCAGCACCAACGTCTCCACCGGGCAGTTGAAAGGCAGCACAGCCAATTATATACTTTAGAGACCATTCGCATATCTGAGCCGTCCCTTCTCCTCCTGGAGGGAATTTGGTACGGAGGGTTGGCTTGAGCACTGCTGCCCCTCAGCCTTTTAGAGCTGTGCTGTGCGAAAGCGTTGCCTTTTCGGGGTGGGGGGGTCCGAACCCCGTTGTGTCGGACGCGAACGGACGCGGATTTGCCTTGTTTGCAGTCTTCTTTGTCTTGTGACCATTGGCTCAATGTGGTGAGCTGTCAGGTTTACGCTATTGTAGGGGACTAAAAAAGTCAAAGCCGCATACGCAGTATCACCACCGTTATTTCCCAATACTACCCGCTATTTAAAAGGCTCCGTTGGGAGATACTGTGAATACCTTGTAGTTCT